CATTAATATTATAACGAGAATCACGCTCTTGTAGTTTCTCATTATTCACAATTTCCAGTGATATCGGCCAAGAGATTCCGTAAATGAGGGAAAACGCGTCGGCGTCGATGAAACGCGAATGACCAAGTTAAAAGTAACCGTATCATCCATAAAGGCCGCAGAACGATCGTAAAACTCACGGTAGCTATAAAAAGACAATCAAAAACCTTCAACTATCTTCCCGGTCTATACATTGCCCAATAATGTAAGAATTCCATCCGAACGATCGAACGAAACGCACTGCCCGCATCGTTCGAGCAGATCGAATTTACGACTGCCGCGAGTTTTATACGTGGGATGCCAGAGATTTGTCGGACAACTTATCGATTCCATTAAGTACTATTAGCGAAGCGGACTAGAAGAGACGTATAGACCTCGAAGAACTGGAATCAATGCACACTGCTTACCTGCCTAAGCATACCTCTCGACCGAAACGTGGACGTATTTGTTTTAGGTGGGCTACAAAGGACGGAGAGATCCTGCGTTCCAGATAAAGGACACAATCTTCGAAGGTCCTCTTTCTCTTCGCACGCGGTCAGAACCTATCCTCGAATATTTCGAATGCATCGACTGGACATGGCGTATTCATCTTCTATGTCTTTTGGTCCCCCCGATATCTTCGTGAAACCTCCGAGACGCCTAGGTAGGGTACGTCGAGCGAACATTTTTCATCTTGCTCTTTCTAGTTTTTTCCTTGCTTTCCTGCTCCTGCTTTGGACCTTTTTTTTACGAGAAATGGAACAAGCTCGAATTTCACTCGTGGGGTCTTCGAAGAGACTCGTAATTCTAGATGGTCGACATCGATTTTCCTCTTGAAAATTAATGGATACGCTGACACACGCAAAAAAACTATATTCTACTCTACTGAGTTTCCTACAATCTTACTGCACGTCAATTTCATCGATGCGATTATACAGCATCCCCGATGAATTGTACCGCGTTTCTATTTCGTCTTATCTCTTTTTTAAATGAATTTTTATTCTGTTCCGATTATGTAAAAAAATGCTTATTATATAAAAAAAATTTGATTTTAATTTCATAAACATAATAAAGAATAAAACGCCTAAATAATACATGTGTGTGTGTATATATCTTATAAATATATTTATCTTTAAAAATATTTGACAAGTATATACAACCTGCAGATTATTTTTATATTTTAGAATATCATATTCTAATAATAAGAGAGAGAGAAAGAGAAAGAGAAAGAAAGGGAAATTTCTTGAATTGATCGCACATTCACAGCTTTTTTATATCTTAATCATCTCGTGGATTTTCATAACAAAATATTCTATATATATTTATATACTAAATACGAATATATTTTTATGTTTATGTAAACCACCGGCTTGCCTCTCTCACCCCCGGTTCAATTCAACCATACAATTTCTCGTCTGGTTTTCTCAAGGGGAGAACGATACGGGAGTGGCAGCATCTTCGAGTTCCGTTGACCTCCTGGCGAAACGAAACGACCTTACAAGAGTTTCCTCTTAAGAAAAGCAACCTACGAGAGCGAATACGAGTCTGAGAAAAAAATATTCTACGTCTTGTCGGGGGAACCTTCGACGAGGTGCTTCTGGGCGAATTCCGCACAAGGAAGAGACTTGTTATATATCTAGGCCTCGAAATGTACGTTGGCAACTTTTTAGTTTCCGGTTGATAAGGACCGATTTCCGACGTGTTTTTTTAGAGAACGGTTATACTTTGACGACAATGTGCCGCATATCATAAAGTAACAAAAAGAGACTTTTAAATGTGAAACGATTTATGAGCGTCACATGCAATTGAGACTTTCGAAAATGAATGCATAACACATGTTACCGCAATTGGCCAAATCAATTTTTTAACCACGATTATCCTAAAAATCACAGAACGCATCACCATCTCTATTAACAATATCGTAAAAATATACATATAATTATATACCGGTAAACAAAATACACCGATAAATACACATTTGTCGAATTAAAACATACTAATAATTTTTTCAGCTAAGGCGATGATAAAAATCCATTATTTTTTCATAACTTTAAAATAATCTCTTCGATTGTTTACGATAATAACGTATGCTCATTAAACGCATTCATTGTGCATTAAATACTTATGAGAAATTATCATTTGTTGATGATTCGTCGCTATCATATTCCTTTCGAGACACGTTATAACGTTTCGAAGAGGAAGGCATAGAATTCAATAGAATCGTACGTAAGACCGTCGGAGGACCCGGCGACCATTTGGAAGGACTGTATCATGGTCCAGGCATATTCACCCCCCGCTGTTAAGCGGCTTCGTGACGGCAGACGGGAGGGGGTGTGGCACATGAAACACCCTTCGGGATCCTGCGGTCATCCCCGGCCGTCGGCAGCCTTTAAAGCTCTGTGCACAACGAACGTGGGCATTATGCAGACTCAAGACTACACGGGCCGTTACGGAACCGCCCCGTAATGGGATAAAAATAACCGTGTTTATATAGGATTACGAGGCGATCATCTTCTCCATTCGAGACTCTACGTAAAGCTACGACAAAAGGGGTTCGCTCGAAGGGTACAATTTTTCATCTCTCTCGCTCGCTATATTATTGTCTATTTAAAAGGACTCTCATTTATCGATTAGAAGTCGTATGACAGAGGAATACAAACGACAAAACACGCGGCACATCATGTTACTATGTTATCAAGATCAGATACGAGATTCTTAGTAATTATGAATAACAAATGTATATGAGACATACAAACGTACAACGATATCTTAACATTATCGGGAATAAAAACATGTAGACAAAGAGTTTCCGCTGCTTCAAATCTGTTTAATTAATATTTTATAAATATACACAAATATATATGTATATATATACAAAAAAGATATATATATATATATATATATATATATATCTTCTTTTTTTAAAGAATTACGGAAGTATCTAAAGAAAACTACGACAAGTCGGAAAAAACAAATAAATTTTTCACAGCAATATCGCATAAGATATGTATTCACTTACTATAGCTACTGCAACGCGCGCTTACCACACATGCATTAGTATTCTCATGATCTACATATTTTTAATATTAATTCTTTTCCCTCTCTCTTTCTTTTTTTCTCTCTAGTTTAAAATATCTTTCATACATTGAATCTAAGTAAAAGAGAAATCCAATATTTTCTATTATGAGAATGAAAAAATAATATATTCAAAAAAAGAAAATAAATACAGCGTAGGAAAGATTCTAAATTCGATGAAATATCGATCGATCAATTAGACGAGCTCAAATCAAAATGTTTCTAATATTTGTCGCCCGATAATGAAAATATTTAAAATTAAAGAGAATATATTCTTCGCAGAAATCTATTTTCGCAGAACTTATCCTTCCGGAACCCATCTCCTTGCATGCTCTCTGACATTCTCTTCGACCTGGGGTAGAAAAAGGGGGAGGGCGGGGGCGATATCGAGTTATCGATGAAACTTGTATGTTTGTCTTTGTAACGCGTACGTTAACGAGATACCACGCGAGGTTGGATATCGAGGATTATTTGATTACAATCTCACAAATTTGCATGAATTTACTTGCCGGAAGTCTCTCACTGGTTAGCCATTTTCTCTCTCTCTCTCTCTCTCTCTCTCTCTCTCTCCTTCCTTTGTACCACGACCACGATATTACCTCTCTATCTTTTTGGCGAACCGTACCGATCGATGGTTAGGGAAGAAGGGACGAAACTGGAGCGGGGAAACGCACGAAAATGAACGTTATTAAATTGTTCTACAGTAACGCCGAATCCAGTCGTAAACATAAATTGACTAATTAATGACGTTGTCGAATACGCGACGGACTGGGACCATCAGATTGACCAGGATCAAACTAAAACGCGCTTGTATCCGATTCCACGTATATTGTATCCGAGTATACATATATACAGTACCGTGACGAGGTTGAATTTGTGTGTTAATAATGGAGTTGTTTGCGGTGCCCATCTCGACAGTCAATATTTATTTATCGAACGTTGCGATACAAGTACGTTGCCACGTCGCGCTGGCGAGCGGGAAAAAGACGAACGGGAAAAAAGAATGGAGATGGGTAAAAGGGTCACTGTAAATGGCAGGCGTATTTATTTGGTGAAAAAGCAAATTTATGCACCGGCCAAAATACGGATTCTATGCCTGAACCCCGCTGTCAAAGCGAGAAGGATAGCCCTCCGTTTCCCAGATTTTGTCTTTTCCTTCGGACGTTTCTCTCCTTTAAAATAAAGGCTAGTAATCAAGTTATCGATGTTTCTCTTCGCTTGATATATACTATGAGTTTCGCGCAGTCGTCAATCCAATTATTTCACAAAATATCGTTCACATATTTAATGCGCGAGATATATTCCCTGTCGAAACTAATTACTCGCGGTCTCGTCATACATTTCTAACATGCGTATTCGTAACCAAATCAAATGCTCCAAAATTCGTTCGCGGTGTCCCTAGAGTAATCGGGGAAACAAGCAGCTTGGACAAACATTTCTGCTACGAAGGTATGCGATGTACCATCCGCGACAACCGGATGGGATGAATATTTAACAAAGTCTGCGGCCATCTCTCTGTACACGGAGGTATACACCTCCATCTCGTGCGGCAGTTCGGACAGCACTCTGCGGCATCCGCGTGTGCAGCAACGACTGCAGAACAGCATCCACGCTCCCACCAGCGCTCTTTTCCTCTTAGCTGCCTCTCCGCCTCCGCCGATACCTATACCATCACGGCATCGCCTCCGCGCCGCTACTACTACCGCCAGCAACTACCACCACCATCACCGTCACCCACCACCACTACCATCGCCACGACTGTCCGCGATACCTCCACCACCGTCGTCAGCGACCTCCACCACCATCACCATCACCACCACGTTCGCCCAGCACCGGCGCCCAAGAGGCGAAGGGCCCCGAGTTCTCCGCGCTACGAGTCAGTTGGCCGACATGAGCCGCGCGTGCTGGGGCTCCCGGTGTTTATCCGCTCTTAACGGCTAATCCCGAGACGCGTACCCTCGTATATTGGGACGTGCGCGTGCACGTACCCGCTCGTGAAACATACACGAGGGGTGAAAACGACGTTTCTCACAGTTCGTACCTGTGGGGAGAGAGATTTTGACATACGGACCTCTAGCTATGATTTTCGAACGGCGTGAATAGCTTCCTCATGACGGAGAAAATTTAGTGTGTTCTTTGTCAGCGCGTTGCCAGGATCACGATTACGAAGGATTCGCGAACGAGATCGATGTGAAATAGTTTATCCCTGAATTGGCGAACGAATACGTATATCGATGGTCGCGGTTCCCGGGAGTGAAGAATGACGTTACGACGCACGGTGTAACGAACTTGCAACGATGATAACGCCAGTGTCAGTGTGCAGTGGGGTTAAAGTGCCAGCCGGTTTATGGATAACCACGGTTCGCTGATTGGCTGCACGAGTAAGTGATATCCGACATTAGTTGCGTAATGCGTCGTGTAGCGAAATTTTTTTGTACGGCGTCAACCGAGGAAATGTGTCCCGATAACATATATAAAATAGTGCTTTCAGTCAAAACGTGCGCAGAATAATATAAAATGCATAAATATCTCATGAGAATAATATCTTAAATAATTTCACAAAACTGCGAAATAAAATAATAGAATTTGATTATTATGTGTTACGATATTTTGTCGCAATTTCAACATCAATTCAATTAAAAAGTTAACATAAAAAAAAAATTTCTTTGAAAAAATTCAAAGTATCATATATTTTTAAGCATAATTGTTTTTTAAACGTTTCCTTTAAATGTAATTTAAATGCTTAAACGCTGGCTGTCTCTCGCGACATTTCAGACGTCTAATCGAGATAATTCATTATGTATCCTCTCGGGCGACTACGAATATTTTCGATTCATTCCGGTGACTGCACATTTTCAAAAGCCCGCTAGGGACCAAATCGAAAGATGAACGTTAGCATTTAACCCCTGCATTCCCGCTGGGCTACATCCACATACAGTCCAAAAGTCTCCGGGAGCCTATTAAAAACTCGCGGCGTGTCATAAACTCATGCTCGTCAACCCAAGTTTCCTTCCCTCGCCTTTATTCGGCTTCCTCCGAAATACCGGTTGTTACCAAACGCGACTCGATGATCGCTTTCCGATATCAACTACCGGATTTGCGCGAAACGACTATAATCTTCGACCCCGCTGCTCATCTGGCAGGTTAAAGTACGCTGATATTACAGGTCTGCGCATCAAATGAATGAAGTCGCTGGAAAAATTATACGAGCGGCATTAACTCGAGATATACGTTATTACTTGTTGCTTCATCGGAGCTATGTTTATATACCTCCTTTACGCCGCCGGTGTAAAACTTGACCGAAAAACAAAATATGCGAAACATTTTAAAACATTTTCGAATTATCTTAAATCCACTTTTTTTCTCAGCTTTACTAGATAAATTGAAATACGTGCGAAATAAACTGCACGCGTAAATAAAATACCGTCCAACACGATAAATAGCTCTCGGGTGATCGGTAAATCTACAGAGACTGCGCGCGAAGAGAAAGAGAGAGAGAGAGAATACGCGTAATCATAAAGTATCCTCCCGTATGCACCATCGAATAAAGATTTACAAGTACTCGGGGGCACTTACTAGGATTACGTGTACAGGAGCACGTTCTTCGATACGACTTAATGGCAGCAGTAAGTTGTCGGCGATTTACGTCGCATATATGCCTGCATCTTTTATCCACGCTTTAAAATTTCGTTCTGTTGCCGCTACCTATCCCATATCTACTCGTAAATACACGAAATGTGTGCATCGGAGGGAAGTTTTCCGAAGATCTACAGATTACATGCGATTCTCAATAATACATCGCTATTACTACGTTGCTACATTGGCTAGATCGTTGATGGTGATTTGCACAACGATCGATTCAATCACGGTCTTTTCGACGGTATCCTGGTAGAAACGATGTTATCACAATACGTTTGCGCGCTTATAACGAGGAAAACGACGCTGTGAGCACGGCATTATCCCCAACAAATCGGTAACATTATGCTTCCAACTATTTACGGCATTTATTGGCTGCGAATCGTTAGTCGTGACACTCACGACCTCACAATCGCTCGTAAAGATCGCGTCTTCGTGGCATGAATAAATCTCTCGGAATGGAAAACGCTCGATACAACACAAGCGCACTCGTTCACCGAGCGAGCGCCGTTAATTAATAATATCGCGCTATCTCTTTAAACTGCGACGGTAGAATGTATTAATCATATTAATGGCACCATGCATTAATAATTACCGCTTTGTTCCACTTCGCGCCCGTCATGCTCGTTGAAACAATTTCGCGTATCATTCACAGTAAAATGTTAACTAATTACACGGTCATAAATTTCGCGATAATAAACGCGAAAAAAAATATTAAATAGATGATAGAATGCTTCTCGCGATTACTATCCTATCGCGAAAATTTATACGCGACCAGGGCTAAATCTGTGGATCGATAAATGCGATTTTGTATAACTCAACGATGTATGATTCCATCGTTATAAATAACTTCGGAACGCGATAGCAACGCGATTTCAGAACGATTACAAGAACAGATCCGGCCGTTGACTAAACATTTCGACCGACTACGTTGGTGGTACTTGGCGATTGAAAGGAGAAGGGACCTTATTTGACTTCGTCGGAGACGTTATTAACGACTAACTGGCCCGCTCACAGTCGCATAATGATCGCTACAACGCGGACTCGTGTACCGCGCAGAAAAGGGCCCTCAAAAATAATGAAGCGGAGCGAGGCGCCTTATGCCAATGGGTCCCTTTATTATTTCTGCTTTTACCGCGTTCGTCGCTTTCTGTAAATACACTGAGCGTGACACGCGCGCTTCTTTGAATGTTGCTGTCACCGACAGTTTGCCTCTCAACCAACATTGCCTTCTTCATCCGCGCCGGTTCCGTATCGCCGCGCTTTCAACTTCCGCTCTTTCTCGTGTAACAAAAAATAATTATAAACGAAACAAGTTTGCGCTTTTTACAAGATGCTTTTGGTGATTTTGTGTTCTCATATACAAAATATATATATGAAGGTATTTAATTTAAATTATTAAAACACTTTTTCACAGAAAAAGAACTCAACAAATCTTAATGAAAAATAAACACCGTGTATAAAATAGCATGAATGTTTTATGCATGAGATATATAAAAATACTAGTTCCATTTTATCTGCTTTTCAATCTTAATAGTGAATTAATTAATAATCAAATAACATTTTTTGCAATTTTTTTAACGATGATTTAAAATATCGACCGTTGCATTTTCAATATCAATCCATAAAAAAGCTCATTCCCGTTTTCCTTGTTTCCTCCGTGCAATTTCAGCTTCATCGCGCGCATCATAATGCGTTCGCTGAAATTCTCCCCTTCCACTCCCTCCATCACATGAATAAAAATATCATGTCGGGATATTCTGGAGTGAAACTATTACGCGAAACCTACACTCTCGAATTTCTACGGGATCCGTGTAAAGGCCAGCGGTCGGCCCGATACATACTCCCGGCACAAGTTAATACGCCATTCACACGCGATATTATTCGCGGAAGGGTACACATTCGTGCGCATTGGTCACGTTCGTGTCGGGGCCGACGATTTTATGCCGACGTCTATCATTTTACGTCGCCGCCGCCGGCGTCTTCGTCGAGTGTTTCTCACCCCCGGCGCGCGCGTTTTCCCGACTTCCGTTCGCGCCTGTACGTACGATGATACGCCATACGTGTCCGGTCAAGGAGTTCGTCGCGCGGACGCTCCGTCGAGGAAGACAGGAAACTCCCTGCGTACGTGCTACGAGTGCGTGAGCCGGCCAGCAACCAATGACTGCTCATGGGCATCGCCGATCCCATGATACCCCGCGCTTTCCGTGCTTCGACCATTAAAAACTCGGTATGGTTTCGGCCTCGTCCTTCGTTATCGTACCGTCAGGATCAATGAAGCCTGGGCCGCCACGCAGAACGGCATGATGTATCGCGGTCTCGATCAGCTCGCAGGAAACAGCGTTGTTGCATCGGCTCGAGAAGAGAACTGCGTCATCGAGAAGGGCCCACCTGGCACGCGCAGGGGCCCATCTGCGGCGTCCGATCCATTCGGGGCCTCCGTGAGAACACGAGGTGCCTACCTGCCTCGAAGGGGCGCACAAAAGGAACCAGAGGGCCCGGTGTCCCTTTGCGAAAAATATATTCACGCGTCGACGAATTTCTGCGGTGGCGAAACGTGATCGTGTCTTCGAGACCGCGCCGGCCGATCGATCGCGCGATCGATCTTTAAGGGTCCACTGGCTCAATATGGCTTAATCTGATCGAGGAACATGGCCGATACAAATCGCGAAATTCGATGAAGATGCTGATTGAACGGCAGATGTTACCCACTCTAAGATTATTTGATTGATCGATAACGGTGTGTCGAGCGATGTTCTTTAAAGAATTAATGTATGAACGGGAAGTACACGAGATGAAGATAATAAAAAAGCGAGTAATTTCGTTTCATTCGAATCAAATCTGCGCGAAATGCTTTTATATATTTCCCGAATATAATAGTGCGATAAAACGACATGAACAAAATGCTGAAATAAAAATGCATTTTAACGACAGTTATATCACATATGTGAAATTTTACGTAGCTCAGAATCTTCAGACGAAGGCATTGAGTTTCTATCAATTATTTTACAATAAAGATTACACGAAAGTCGTCAGAAAAGTCACGCACAATGCGTAAAGCACGCAACATCCGTCGTAAACAGCATCGCGCTTTTACCAATTTTTATTACACTAGGATTTCTTATCGATGCGAATAAAATCGGAAAATTTTACAGAGGCCAGGAAGCCCTCCATCGTTTTTTACGTCATAATATCCGAAGGCGCCGAACGCCTGAAAAATCTTGGCGCGCGCGAAAGGAGCATCCTTCTCGTTTACGTCCGCTGATATGTGCGGCCGAGGAGAGCTGCGTCCTCGTTTTCTCGTATAGCGGCTTTCCTCATATATCGTGCGCATAGCTCCAGCGCGATACTGAAAGATATCTCGCCCGAGGCGCTCATAGTCGCACATTGTACTTTATATTCATGCAAAAACGTCAAATAACTTCCAGGCACGGTGTTTGCCTCGTCGACCAAAAGCCAGGCGCGGAAAAGCGACGTTTGATCCTTCATCCAAAGTCCGGGGAAACTTGCGTTGCCAGTACCTATCGTCGACGTACGCGGGCGCGAACCGCGTCTTCACGATATATGTATTTTCAGCCCGTTCTATCCTTCTCGGCGTTCCTGTTTGCGAGATGACTACGCGCCAAAGAGCTACGTATAGCCACGTTACGCAGCTGTAGCGCTCTGTGCGCGTGCGATGAAACGATCAAAGAGCAAAGGGAAGGGTGTATTTCGGTGTTTGGTCGAGCGAGCAGAGCTGAAGCAA